GTGCGGGACTTGCCGGCGAGGACGTGGCACCCCGACGGGCCGATCAACCCCAGCGGCCGCATCCTCGCGGCGGCCCCCGAGACGCCGCGGTCGGTCCGCCGCCCATGCTCTGGGCCTTTCGGAGGGGCCCCGAGCAGATGGTCGGGGGCGGAAAAGAGGGGGGTGATCACTAGGGGGGGGTGGATATCATGGCGGGGGCCATGATATTTCCCCAGATCTCGTGGCGCCTCTTCTTGTTTCGTTACGTCCCTGGCCCCCCTCTTGGACACCCCCCTCTTGGCCGCTCCCGAGGTGGGGTCGGAGGATCGCGCCGCATCGCCGGCGTGCATCGGCGGTGCGCCTCGGTGTGCAGCCCGAGGCAGCTGGCCTCGGGCGAGGCCGCCGCCGTGCCCCGTGCGGCATTCCGGGTGGCAGTTCTCCGAGGGGGCAGGGAGGCCTGCTGGGGGCGTCTCGGGGCCGAAGGCTCGCATGCTTCCCACTCTTGGGGCCGCCTTGGGGCCCTCGTGGGCTGTGGTCATGGGTGGTTTCCTGGGTTGTCCTGGAGGCCTCCTGAACAGTCTCGGGGGGGAGTATTGGGGGCCTCTCGGGACGTCTTGGGGCGTCGGAAGCTCGAAGAGGTGAGAGCATCCCAAGACACATGAGAACCGTAGGGAGCCTCTTGAGACGTCGGGGGTCCTCTTGGGGCGTCGGAAGCTCGACAAGTAGAGAACTCGAAAGGAAAATCAATGGCTTTTGCCTCTCGAGTCCCTTGTGGGAAGACTCTTGGGGCTTCTCTTGGGACGCCTTGACGGCCCTTGGGCCGTCTTGAAGCAAGATTGGGCACTTGCATGCCCATGCGCGCGACAGAGGGGGGGGGATAGGAAATAAGAGAAACCCTACCAGAGTGCACATTTCATTCTACATAGCACGCCCTTTCGTACCATTCTACATAGCACGCCCTAACGTGCCAGGGGTCACGGTGGCGGACTGTCTCTGCGCAGGCAACAGCGGTACATCGCCGACGTCGCCGATACATCGGCGATGTGTCGGCGCGCTCCTCCGACCCCATCTACTCGGACCCCATGTTGGTAGGCCTCGACATGCCTGGTCCTCCGCCCATGGCTCGAACACTCGAGCAGGAGATCGATGGCATCATGGACTTACCACAACATGAAAGTTCCGCCGAATATGTGACAAAATCTGATTGCCGTAGACCTATGAACATGACACACGTATCATTTGTATACTCGACGGAAAACAAGAGCAAGTTCGGGCACACGACTTCTGTAGTCCATCCCCTGCTCGAAGGAGGCTCGGCGACCGAGGGCGGAACTTTCCCTCGGACGCTCTTCCTGCCGCTCCCCTTGCGGGCCCGGCCCTCCTCCCGAGGCTCGAGCAGCGTGTGTGTCAGAGCCCACGTGCCCCCCTGTCGGCGTCGTCCGAGCATACTGCTGCCACGGTAGATGTGTGCGTCGCCGCCCCCCGGGGCGTCGCGGGCACCGCCAAGTCGTGTAGTCTGTGCTGAGCGGCGGGCGCTCTCTGGCCACGCCACGCGCTCTCTGGCCACGCCGAGGATGGGCATACGATGTGTTCGGGTCGGACGCGCGCCCCCGAGGAGGACACGCAGTGCTGGTATTTCTCTGTGCGTCCCGCTCCCCGTGTCAATGTCTACGCGGGTTCTGTGCTTTTTGTTTAGTGCCGATGCGTGCACCCCGACGGCGGCCGCGGACGCCACACTGAAAGGGGGGGCCCGAGAGCGGCACCGTCGAAGCCACGCTTGTGGATGGGCGCTCTTGTGAAGTTGGCCGCGGTGTCCTCGGGGGCCTCGGGACCTGGGGATCGATCTTCGGGGACCCTGGGAGGCGGTGGATGTGGACACGAGGAGGAGGAGGAGGGAGGAGGAGGAGGGAGGAGGAGGAGGAGGAGAGGAGGAGGAGGAGGAGGAGGAGGACGGAGGAGGAGGAGGAGGACGGAGGAGGAGGAGGAGGAGATGAGGAGGAGGAGGAGGAGGATAGGAGGACGGAGGAGGACGGAGGAGGAGGAGGAGGACGGAGGAGGAGGAGGAGGAGGAGGGCGGAGGAGGAGGAGCAGGACGGAGGAGGGCGGAGGAGGGCGGAGGAGGAGGGGGCCCAGGGATCGAGGACGCGGCTCGGTTCTCGCGGGGACTTCTCCTCGGGGACCTCGGGGACCTCGGGCGGCAGTGGGTCTGGGCACACCCGGGCCCAGCCCCACGGGGCCCCAACCGTGCGGCTGGCCTGCGCCGCCTCCACGCCGGCGCCGGTCCCAGCCCGGGCGCTCCAGGGCAGAGAGTCGACCCGCACAGCGTGGACGGGCAGTGCTCCTGCAGGGGTGCCCTTGCCTCCTTGCCTCCTCGGTCCATCCTTGGCCACTTTCGGTGGCCGCGGCCCGCTCGGAAAGCCTCGAAGGGGGCGCCTGAGGCCCTTGGCACCCTCATCGCGCATCCTCATGGCATGGGCCGACTGCGGACGCCGCCGGTGGCCCAGAGTCGGCCGGTGGCGAGCGACCTGCGCCATCGGAGAGCCGCGAGCGTTCGAGGTCGAACGACGCACTCGGCGCCGGAGACCGACGCTCGCGCACGTCGCGGCGCGGAGGAGCCGCGTGCCATGCCCACGGCCCCCCTGGGGCTGTCCCAGGGCTGAGGCTCCCTGGGAGCCTGTTTTTTTAAGACTCTGGCAAGTTAACTTACTTGCATGGACCGGGGGGGGGCTGAGCCTGAAGCAAGCCGCAAACGACTTGCACGTTCGGGGGGGCGCGGAAATCACGCGAGTCGAAAGGCACTTGCACGCTAGTATTCGCTTGAAGAGGGGCGAGGGGGGGGGTGGGGGGGGGGGCGAACGCCATGCAAGTAAACTTGCCCGAATCCAAAAAAAACAGGCTCTGAGCGGTGGGCTGTGGATCCACTCCCCGCCTCGCACGTGGGGGGGCGCGTGGGGCGCGGCGGGCCGACCGCGGCCCGAGCGCTCTGCGGCCCCGGAGCCGACGCAGCCGCTGCAGCCGGCCGAGCCTGGGGCGGCCCCGGAGCCGCCGCCGGAGGAGGAGTACCACCCACCAAACCACCCCAACCCAACCCGAAGGCTCAGATTTACCGTCGATTTCCAGCGGGGGGGGGGTCGAGGAACATCGAAAAAACACGCGTGGAACCCTTACCCCCCCCCCAACCCGAAATTCGGGTCTTCGGGTTGGGTTGGGGTGGTCTGGTAGGTAGTCAGAGGAGTACTACTCGGTGGACGGCTTCGAGCTGGACAGGCCTCGGCGGCGGCCGCATCCCGGCCGCGCAAAAGAGCTCAGATCTCAGATCTCGGAGGGGGAGAAGGTGCCCCTGCCTCTCCCCTTCGGCCGTCTTCCTGCTCTTGGACCTGCTGGGAGGCCCTCGTCGCCACCGCTGGGTTCGCCTCGGAAATATGGGCAGAACGCACCGGGGGAGAGGTCTGGGGGCTATAGCGGGGGGGGGGGAGTCCAGGGGCGGCGAGCCCGGGGGGGGGAGCGAGAATGGGCGGGCCTTCTCGGAAGGCTCGGAGTCCCCACGGCCTTCTGAGAAGTTCCAAGCAGCCTCCCGCGAAGACGACGAGGACTTCTCGGAAGGCCGGCGCGCTTCTGAAAAGCCCCGCCGCCTTCTGAGAAAAGGCCGTCTCCTTCTGACTTCCCCCCCCTCGCTCGCCGCCGACCCGGGCAGGAAGGCAGGCCGATGTGGGGCGGGCTGGGGGGCTGAGGTGGCCCAGCACGGGTTCCAGCCAGTAGAACGGGGGGAGGAAGGGGCCCCCTCGTCGTCGCGGCTGGACAAGCTGGACGGGCACCGGCGGTGGCCGAGTCTCATTTACACATATATGCATACACGACTTGCTTATCCACATACATACATGCATGCATACATACATGCATACATATCGGAGGTGGATAGACCTCCTACCCTGACACGTCGATTAAGGAATTGGCCGTTTTCGGTTCGCGGGAGGGCGTCGCGGCCGTCATTTTTGCGGGTTCCGGTCCGTCGGTTTCGGTGCCAGGCCGTTTTCATTAAGGGGAGGTTTACTAAAGGGAGGTTTGTCCACCGCCGAACATACATACGTACGTGACTATATACATACACACGTACGCACATATCTACACACAACCATACATACATGCATATATTAATATAGGAGCACATACATACATACATATATGGACATGCACATACCTGCACACGTGCATGCATGCATCAAGGTCGTGCATGAAAGCCTGCATGCATGCATGCATATGTATACACGCATGCAGTGCATGCGTCCATGCGTACATACACAACAACACACCTATGAACATGTATTTTCACTTAGGTATGTCAATTCACACAAACATGCAACCATACACACATACACATACGTACATACATACATACATACATTAGTTCATGCATACACGCATGCATGCATTCATACATGCATACACACGTACATACATACAGCCATGCATGCATACATACATACATGCATACGCACATACATACATACATACATACATACATACATACATACATACATACATACATATGTACATATTCACATGCATACATACATACATGAACACATACCTACATACAGACATACATATACACGTATATACGTACCCACATACACACATGCATGCGTGCATACATACATACATACATACATACATACATACATGGTTGCATACATGCCTACACACGTACATACATATGCATAAGCATGCACGCATGCATGCATGCATGCATACATCCATACACACATACAGACATGTACCACACGTAAACACATACATAACCATACACATGCACATATACAATACACGCATACCTGCATGCATGCATGCATGTATGCATGCAGACACACGCGCATACACACACGTATACACATATGTATATACATATATACATATTCACCCAAATCCACAGACACACACACACACGTGCATACATCATACATGCACTGACACATACATGCATACATATGTGTACATACACACTATATATATGCGCATACATATGTGCATTCGCACACGCATACACATATATACAGGCATATGCATGCATGCAGTCATTCACGCATACGTGCAAACATACATGCACACATGCATTCAGGCACACATGTATACATGCATACGTGCATACTTACATGCACATGTATTCGCATGTTCAAACCTACAGACGATACATAAATACATATATAGAGAGACATGTGCATATACATACTGTACGTACGTGTGTGTTTGATATGCCAACCCGCTACCCTCCTTCAAAGACCAAAGAACTGCATTGTCATACACTGTCGGAGCTCCGAGAGGATTTGTCGGATCGGCGCTGAACTCCCCTGGCGGCCCTCCAGCGCTGCTTCTGGCACGCTCCGCACGCCAGGGAGGAGGTTTCATCGCTTACCAAGACATCGTCGCACCTTTTTATTTGAGCCGTTTTTTGACCCTTCATCCCGATGCTGGTACCTTCTCTTCCGTCGCCACGGCTGGCTTCGCGTCGAGATGCTTGTCAGAACGGCTCCCTGGAGAGGTCCAGGACACAGTTGTAGTGGTACTTCCCCGAACAGCGGCTCGCTAAAGGGCTCTCATTGTGGTCAAAGTTTTCTTCTCTCACAAGAATTTCCACGGGTAGGGGGCCACATGCGAACCCTACCCCTACCCCCCACGATTTCTGAGGGGGAGGGTGGGGTTCACTTGGCTCGAGAGCTCCCGAATGAAGTGAACCCCACCCTCCCCCTTCAGAAATCGTGGGGGGTAGGGGTAGGGTTTGCATGTGGTCTCCTAACGGGGGGGCCGGGGGGGAGGCGTCTCCCAGGCCCGGCGCCCACGAATGTGTGGCAAGAGGTTTACGTTTCGCAGCCCCCCAGAGAGCCGGGAGGTCTCAGCCGGATCCCCGTACAATTCCACTCCGCTGGAACTCCCAGGGGCCCAGGAAAGTGGCGAGAGTTTCACATTTCGCAGCCCCCCCAAGGAGCAGCGAGGTCTCATTTGGATCCCCGTATAATTCCATTCCGCTGGACCTCCCAGGAGCCAGCGAAAGTGGCGACGGTCTCCTCACACTTCGCAGCCCCCCAATCAGCAGCGAGGTCTCAACTGGATCCCCGTACAATTTCACTCCGCTGGACCTCCCAGGAGCCCACGAAAGTGGCAGCGGCTGCGCGCACAGAAGGACGAGGAAACGGGAGGCAGGACGTAGGAGGCAGGAGGCAGGAGGGGGAAGAGGGAGGAATAATCGAGACCATAACGCTCCATTCAAGAGGAGCGCCCCAAACGCATGAGGGCCAGCCGAAACCATGGCGGCAGCGGTGGTCTGAGGGGGCGCCCCATCTCGTTGCCGCGCCGCCGTGCCGTGGGCTGCCCTGGAGGCCGCTGCCGCCAGTGGAGCCGCCCTGCCGGACGACTAAGGACGTCCTGGGCGAGCAGATGAACGGCAGGAGCCCGGGGACGCACACCACATGAGCCTGTTTTTTTAGACTCTGTGGCAAGTTTACTTGCATGGACCGGGGGGGGTGGGCTGAGCCTGAAGCAAGCCGCCAACGACTTGCACGTTCGGGGGGGCGCGGAAATCACGCAAGTCGAAAGGCACTTGCACGCTAGCATTCGCTTGAAGAGGGGCGAGGGGGACGCACACCGCACTCGGGAGAGGGCCGGTGGACGCAGCGGCGGCCCTCCCCGGCGCCGGTCGCTTCTGAGCCTCCCCGGGGGGCGGGGTCGGCTCCGAGGGGCGGGCCCCGGGAGGGATCCGGGAGGGGGTCCGGGGACAGATTGTCCCCTTCTCCTCCTCCTCCTCCTCCTTCTCCTCCTCCTCCCCCTCCTCCTCGTGGAGCGGACTTCTCCCAAATTGTCCCCCTCCTCCTCCTCCTCCTCCTCCTCCTCCTCCTCCTCCTCCTCGTCCTCCCTCCTCCTCCTCTCCTCCTCCTCCTCCTCCTCCTCCTCCTCCTCCTCCTCCTCCTCCTCCTCCTCCCCTCCTCCTCCTGCTCCCCCTGCTCCCCCTCCTCCCCCTCCTCCTCCTCGTCCTCCTCCTCGACTCCCCTCCTCCTCCTCCTCCTCCTCCTCCTCCTCCTCCTCCCCTCCTCCTCCTCCTCCTCCTCCTCCTCCTCCCCCTCCGTCGTCCTCCTCGTCCTCCTCCTCCTCCTCCTCCTCCTCCTCCTCCTCCTCCTCCTCCTCTCTCTTCTCCTCCTCCTCCTCCTCCTCCTCCTCCTCCTCCTCCTCCGCCCTCCTCCTCCTCCTCCTCCTCCCTCCTCCTCATCCTCCTCCTCCTCCTCCTCCCCTCCTCCTCCTCCTCCTCCTCCTCCTCCTCCTCCTCTCCTCCTCCTCCTCCTCCTCCTCCTCCTCCTCCTCCTCCTCCCTCCTCCTCCTCCTCCTCCTCCTCCTCCTCCTCCTCCTCCCTCCTCCTCCTCCTCCTCCTCCTCCTCCTCCTCCTCCTCTCCTCCTCCTCCTCCTCCTCCTCCTCCTCCTCCTCCTCCTCCTCCTGACCCTCCTCCTCCTCCTCCTCCTCCTCCTGCTCCTCCTCCTCCTCCTGCTCCTCCTGCCGGCCATTTCGAAGGCGAGGCCTTCGGCGACGGCTCGTGCGTGTCGCTCGTACAGGGCGACATGCGTCTCCTACGCGCGGGCTGGTGTGTCGTGCAGGTCGACGAGAGCGGGGGCCTCGTGGCGTCCCTGTGCGACCTGCTGCCCGGCTTGCGCCAAGCGTCGGACCTGGCCGAAGCCTTTGGCCTGCTCATGTATCTCACGCGCGCTGGGCTGGGCCCCTTTCGCTACCACTCGGACTGCGATTGGGTGGTCTCGAGCTTCCAGCGTGGCCGTTTCGAGACCACGGGCGCCATGTGCGAGGGCGCTGACGTGTGGTCTCAGATATGGGATCGGGTGGACCACCTTGGGGGGTGGGAAGTGCGGAAGGTGAAAGGCCATGCCCGCCGCCGTCACGATGACGAGCAGGAGTTGGGTGCTGTCGTGAGGTGGGGGAACCGCCACGCAGATGCTGGCGCCCGCGTGGGCGCCTCCCTCCATCCCACGGATCCCAAGGCCAGCCAACGCGTGCAGCGCTCCTTTAAGCTGGTCACCTCGTAGCCAAGTTCCTACCCAGGACAATGCAGGCTGTCGGCCCCAAGTCGCAGCAGGCGCCGCGCCACGGACAGCTGCGGCGGGCCAGGCGACGGGGGCCGACGCCAGCCTTCACGGCGGACACGGAACCGCCCCCCGGTGCACACTTGTCCGTGCCGTCCCCCACGGGGTTCAGGTGCGCCAGGTGCTTCCGCGAAGCTCGGCAAAGGGACGCCTTCATCCCAGCCGTGTGCGCCCCTGGTGGTGGCCACCGCGTCTGGCACGTGGGCCAGTTCGTCTTCTGCGCCCGCTGCGGTGCGCACTCCAGCGAGAATGCGCAGCTCCTGGCGCTCCCTTGCCACGGCGGAGTGCCCCCCAAGACGCGCACTCGTTTAGACCGTCTCTGGGAGGGCCTGCACCCTCGTACTGGGCAGCCGCTGCTGTCGTCTGTGCTGGGACAGCTGAAGCCTCGCCCATTTGGCGAATATGTCCTCGACGCCACCTGCGGGGGCCTGGTCGTGGTCGACGATTGCGCTGAGTTGGGTTAGCCTCCGGTCCCTTCCTCGTGCGGCACTCCTTTGAGGGATGTGCCCAGGGCTTTACTTGTCAGGCTCTCGCCTGAGTCTGTCTGCGTAGCCAGCCCCGCTTGCAGCTTTGAGCCGCGCCTGGATAAACTCCTCCTCCTCCTCCTCCTCCTCCTCTTTCTCCTCCTCTTTCTCCTCCTCCCCCTCCTCCTCCTCCTCCTCCTCCTCCTTCCCTCCTCCGCGCGCGCTTTCACGTGTAAGGAATCCCGCGGGCTCCCGCGCGAGAGGACTGCCGTTGTCTCCATGGGCCCCCTTTGGCCCCCTCCGAGAAAACAACATTTGACACGCAGAAGGTAGGCTCGCGCCGCGTAGGCGCGGCGGCGACGCCAGCTCGGTCGTTGATGAGGCTTGGACGCCGCCAGTTGCCCAGAACTGGCCGATGTCGAGCGAGCTGCGTCACCAGGAAGCCGCAGTTGCCGTGCGGTGCTCATGGCCAGACCACTCTCGGGTTCAGGATCGGCGCGTGCCCAGCTGTGCAGCGGCTTGACAGATCGTGACGGCAAGTGTTTCATCTGTTTGGACCCTTGGAGCCTCGTCTCGGGCCCGGGGGGGGTGAACAAAGTGTTCACGAAATGGGTCGAGAGGTTCCAGGGGCTCATGCCTCGAAAAACCGAATTGCCAGACGTTTGGGTATCATGCGGCAAGTTCGCGCGGCGTCGGCGCGGCGGCGACCATCGAATGACCTCCATTATCGGAAGGCCGCGGCCGCTTCAAGGTGGAACGGTCCAAGGGCCAGTGGCACATAGCTGCGCAGCGAACAGGCAGAGCGTTACGGTGATGTGCGGCGCTGGAACCCCACGTCATCGATCCGTGACCTTGCCGTACACTGAACCCGCTTAGTACGGATGGGCAGCCTTGCAAAGAGTACCATTGCATCCTTGCCCTTTTGGCCTTTGCTTTGCTTTGCTGGCCCACCTCGCTCGACAAAAACATCCACGTGGCTCCTCTAAGGTTCTTGCCTCCTTACCGCGCATCATTGCAGTGGAAGGCCATGCCAAGAAACGCCCTGCTGGCCTCCAGGGTGCCCTGGGTTTCTTGGGTTTCTAGGGCTGCGCCAAAGAAAGCGTGACGTTCCCATACCAAAAATCAATGGCCGTCCTGGGGTCTCGGGGTTGGGTTTCTCGTCGACGGTTTGCTGTGGTCGAAAGCCTACCGCACGGGCGCGGCAGTCCGAGCCCCCGTCCCGCGCTGCCATCGAGCGGCGATGCCTCCCACCCTGGTGGGCGTGCGCAGCACGTCGCAGTCCCAGGCCGTGCCGGATTTGGCTCCCCAGAGGGGGTCGCTCTGGACGTGGCCGGCGATCGTCCGCGGACGAGTCGTGTGCGCACCGTGCCGCGCCTGGTGTCTCCCGGGGCGTCGCCGATGCTCGACCGGGGGAGCTCGGAGGAGGAAGAGGTACCGATACCGCTCCACCCTTCCCTCGTCTTCGCCTCGCTCTGGGCTTCCAGCGAGGCCCTCGTCGCCACCGCTAGCGTTTCGCTTCGAAGTTCCTGGTCAGAACGCACCCAGGGGGGGGGGTCGGGGAGTAGCTGTATCGGTATCTTTTGATTTCCCCACAGACGGGCCTGGGCGCGGCCTGGCCCGTATCGGTCGCGGTTGTTTGGGATCCGAGAGTTCGTCATTGCTCGCTTTAGGCTAGGCAGAAATAACCGGGCGGCGCCTCCCCTCCCCCAGGAAGGCGGCCGGCCTCAACTACTGCGTCAACCAGGGCCAGGACCAGGGCCGACGAAAGAAGGGGATAGGAAAGAAGTGGGTACGTACTACCTTTGTCAGGAGAGAAAGAATCACACAGACACAATTAATCCTCGATTCCCAAGAAAAATATGGGAAACTATGGGAAGTGGGGGGGGAGACAGAAACCTTGAAAATATGGAAAAATATGGAGAATATGTTGATTTGTGTGTATTTATTTGTGTGTCCTGGGGCCCCTTCAATTTGCTGCATGCAGCTGCTGCCCCGCTGGGCGCTCTCCTGGATGTACGCTGGAGACCGCCTGTGCTCGGAGGCGTGCCGGGAGGCGTCGGAGAAGCCAGCTGCGTGAGCTGCTCAGCGACCCCCCCAGACACCCTCGAGGTATGAAAAAATCACGACGGGAGGTTTTTCGTTATTTTTGGCCTCTGGGGGCCCTTACCGGCCCTCGGGACCGTCAAAAAACGACTCGGGACGAAGAACCAGTCCCTGGGAAAGGGTCCAGAACGCTGGGGGTCGACGTCATGAAAAATTCATGACGTCGGGGGTCTGGGCCTGGATCCCTCCCCCCCTCCCTGACATCTGCCGGTCTGTTTTTCTCAACCGAGGTCCCAACCGCTTCCTTGGGGGGAGCTTTCCTCCCGGATCCACGTTTGATGATCCCTGGGCCCGAAAACGGTCCCCTTGAGGCCGAAATCGTGGAGGAAACACCCGGATTAACCAAATCACCTAGTCGGAGATCTCGGCTTGCTGCCCCCCCCACGTCGGACACCAGGGCTGGACCCGAACGCCGTTCTGCTGGACCTCGGCTGTGTTCTGTCTTTCGTTTTGGGAGGAAGGTACAGTCGGGTCGACCCTGCCAAATCAAGGGTACCCTTGTGTCCTGTGTCTCGCGACCCATGCTTCCTACATTCCTGTGGCGATGTGGCCCTCGGAAGGGTCTTTTGCCCTCTCGCGTGTCCTGTCCTGTGAAGTCCGACTGCAGAGCAAAACGGCACGCAGAATGATAGCGAAACGAAACACAACGGTGAGGGCCAGCCCGCGGCGGACGCGGCGCCGCAAGCCTTCGGTGACGTCGGCACCCGGGGGAGCTCGGCCGCTCCCCAGGGGGCCAGCTTTTTTGGCCATGCCTCGAGCAGCTGTCGGGCGGCCCCCGGGCCAGGGAACGGCCTCCATCTAGGGCTCCTGGGGGTTAAGTCGGGCCTGTCACTGTCCCTCTACAGGAGGACTCTACCCAAACAATTAGTCGACACATAGTATGACGGGGACGATTTTTGCGTATGTTTGGCAATGTTTGAACATGTCTTGACTTTGTGTTATTTTGCGTCCAACACCCGCCTGTGGGGGGACACGCCCGACCTCAATCTAGGGCTCCTAGATGGGTCGGAGTAGATGCGGTCGGAGGATCGCGCCGCATCGCCGATGCATCGCTGATGCGGCTCGATGTGGGGCCCAGTTTGCTTCACGTCGACGTCGCCGATGCATCGCCGACGTCGCCGATGCACCACCGATGCATCACCGATGTACCGCCGACGCATCGCCAATGTATCGGCGATGCGGCGCGATCCTCCGACCCCATCTACTCCGACCCCATCTGGGAGGCCCCTACTCCGGGGGCCGACAAAGCGACGAAGTGCTGGCCGTGGCCATTGTGGTGCAACGGCTGGATCTGAGGAGCCCCTGCTTTCCCCCTCTCTGTCAGTCTGCGCCTCTCAGGTTGGGTCCGAGCAGCTGGGGTCGGAGAATCGGGCCGCATCTCAGTATCGGTTCGCCGACCCCCCATCCCCGTCCCCATCCAGACTCGCACCACGTCGCCCCCCCAAGTTGGGGATATGCTGCCCATCGAAGCCCGAAGGGAACGGCCCATATCCCCACCTGGGGGGTAAACCAGCCAGTGGGGCCACGCCGCTGGGGACGGGCGGGCACCGGCTACAACGATGCTTCTCAGATGGGGTCCGAGTAGTTAGATGGGGTCGGAGAATCGCGCCGCTTGGCCGATGCATCGGCGATGCGGCTCGATGTGGAGCCCGACCTTCTCCACGCCGACGTCGCCGATGCACCAGCGATGCATCAGCAGTGCGGCGCGAGCCTCCGATCTCACCTGGGAGGAGAGAGAGAAGCAGGACGCGCACGTGCATGGGTCTGCGCTGGTTTCGAACGCACGCGCATTGCGCGAACGTTCGTATCACGAGGCTGGTCTCGCGGGCTGGGGGGCCATGTTCATGTACGCGGTTGGGCGCGCACGTCCTTAGTGGGCTCCCTAATCTGGGAGGCCTCTGCAGTCGAAACCGATTCAATAAGGATGGGTACCTGGTCTTCCTAAGGGTGCCCTTGCATCCTTGCCTCCTGTCAGTCCATCCCTGGCCCCTTTCGACGGCTAGCCCCGCCCGAGAAGCTTCGACGTGGGCGTCCACGGGGCTTGCTCGGAAGCTGGAACATATACATTACCAGTGGCGTGCTGGTTTTTCATCCCTGGACTTTTTGAGGGTCGGGGACGACGTCGGGATGGTGTGGTGTATACTTGTTTCCCCGCCTTCCTGGGGAGATGACGAACATGTATACACCAGCATCCCGTACACACCAGGATCCGCTCTCCTCTGCGAGCTTCAGTGCAGGGCCGGAAAAAGCGTCGGTGTGTAGAGTTCGGTTCCCTACTTGCTTTCTTATCGCGCAGCCTTGCATCCGTTGGCGCCCGGCCAGGAGCCGAAGCTCCTCTCCACCGCGCTGGGGGACCCCGCGGCCTGACCGCCGAGCCGCCAGGGGCCCTGCGCGGCGCGCCGCCGCCGCCTCTGCGCGGCGGCGGGCGGAGCCGGCGCGGTGCCCCTCCGCAGCATGCGAGAGCCCTGAGTTTTGCACGAACGAACTGGGTACGGAAAGAACGGGTACAGTGCCCAACACAGTTCCTGCTCATTTCGAACGGGACTCGCTGTCCGCGCCGCCGCGGCCTGTGTCCATTTGAGACAGAAGGCCGCCTGCCCAACAGCGGCCGCTGTTGGTTTGGGACAACAGTTGTTGTTGGGCAGTGTAGCCATTCTTTCCGTGCCCATTTCGGGCGTCCAAATGAGACGGGGGTCAGTGCGAACGGGGGTCAGCCAGAGCGCCCGATCTTGCAGGATCCTGCAGGGCCGGGGGCGCACTGGCCCGGGTTTGGGTGCAGGAGCCTGCAGGGTCGTGCAGGATCCTTCGCGCTGGCCCGGGCTTGGGTGCAGGACCTTGCAGGATCCTGCAGGGTTCTGCAAGGCCTGATTGACCCGGGCTTGGATCGACCCGGGTCAGCTGATCCCCGAAGCATCTAGGGGAACAGAAAGTGGCACAAACATAAAAACTCGGATGTCCGCGCGGATTCCTCGGATCGGCGCTGGGCCCCCCTGGCGGCGCCTCCGGCGCCGCCCCTGGCGCGCCCCGCGCGCCAGGGAGGGGGGTCCAGCGCCGATCCGAAAGATCCGCGCGGACCTCCGAGTTTTTTTGCGTTTATGCCACTTGCTGTGTCCCGAAGTCTGAGCCTCGGCCCGGCCAGGGTCGGTGGGGTGGCCAGGCCTGCCAGGAGAGGCGACAGCCCGGGCGGAGTGCGCCCGGACGGGGGCCGAGCACGCCGCACGGACCTGGCCCCGGGCGGAGGGGGCCGCCCTTGCGGGAGGGGCCGCGTGCAGACGGAGGCGGCCCGGGTGGATGCCGAGCACTCCGTGGGGACTTGGCGCCGTGTGGAAGCAGTTGGGGGGCCCCAAAATATACACCACCACCACCTCCCTCCCCCCTCCCTCTCGCTGGAAAGAGGAGAGAGGAGGAATCGACGTGGTGGTGGTTTATATTATTTGGGCCCCCAGCAGTGGCGAAGCGTCCCGGCTCGCCTATAGCCCCACCAAACCATGTTGTGAGAGCCTTTTCTGTCGAGGCCCGAACACCATCACTTCACGAATTTTGGGGCGCGGGGCCCACTGAGGCCCCAGGGGCCCCAGATTAGTGAAGTGATGCTTTTTCCCACGTAAGGACCCCGAAATTCATCACTTCACTAAACCGAACCCAGGACGAAAGTCAGGGGCCGTGTGGAGTTCGCCTCCTGCCAGGAGGTGCCGAGTCGAGACGGAGGAAGCCCAGGCGGAGACCGGACACCCCGAATGGATTTAACCATTTCGTATGGAATCAGATTTCGCCGATTCGGTCGATTTGAACCGAATGTGCACCGGCGAGCCGCGCCCAGTAGCGCCCAGATGCGCCTCATAGCGCAGAATAGCATTCAATCGTTAGCGCCCAACAGCGTCCAAATAGCGCCCACTGGCGCCCACATGGCGCCATGTGTGGGGGGATGCCTGACGTCCGCGTTGCGCACTGCTTGACGCGCTACGGGGTGCCGTGGGGACGACCAACAGCTCCGTGAGCTGTCTTCTAGGGCCAGCTGATTACCAGCCTGGAACATGTCCCTATCCCTGTGCCGGGCACCTCCTCATCACGATGCCAATCTCAGGGATTCCCCCTATTTTTGGAGGGCGGATCCCTAAGATGGTCATCGCCTTCTGGCGTGTCAGTCTTAGGGATAGGGATACGTTCGAGGCTGGTGAAATGGAGAGGAAGCATGCTGCCAAATGAATTCCAGATGTCTAACAAGTGCTTCAAACATGCTGAACACATGTTTGAAACACTGCCTCGAACATGTTCAAACATGTCTACAGCACGTTAAACACTGTTTCTCACATGTTCAAACACTGTTGAGCACTGTTTCCAACATGTCCAGAACACGTCCGCTGAGCGACGAAGGACAACGGCCTCGTCCTCGCCGTCACTGGCGCGGGAGCTGCACACGCGCGTGAGGTCGCGCGTGGGCGCCCTCTCCGGTGTGGCGCGCCGCGCCAGCGGCCCGCGCAGGGCCACCTCCGGAGGGAGCAAAAAAGCACACAGACAAAATGCATCGTCGATCCCCCATAAAAATCAGGGAAATATGGGGAGTGTGGGGAAGACAAACACCCAGAAAATATGGGACGATGTGGCGAATCCTGTTATTTGTGTGTATTTATGTGTGTGTGTGTGTGTGTCCTGGGGCCCCTTCACCACCGCGTCAGGTCTCTAATTATGACATCTTGCGTACGGCCCGTTCTGGATCGTCGCTCAGTTGACGCTCGGTAGCAACTCATGGGAGCCTCGTGTGCCTTCGTAATTTTGTGTTTAGAATGCGCCAGCGGCCACTAGCGTCTGGTAACCAATGATTTAGCGTCAAATTAGCGTCGATGTGCGTCGATTTAGCGTCGATGTAGCGTCGACTAACGTCGATTCGCAAGAGCCGACAAGATGGTATGGGAGTCTCCCATGAGTTGTCACCGAAGCAGGCGCCTCCCGATCCATGGGGTTGGGGGGAGGGTTTCTTAGAAACACCCCTGCCTCTTAGAAGGTGCGGGCCTCAGCCATAGATGTAAGGCCAGCGCCTTCTGAAAAGCAGCCTCCTTCCAAGAAGCCCCTCCCCCTCCCTCTCCCCCCCCCTCTGCGCGCCGTCAGAACACATGAACCTCGAGTCCCAGGAACACATGGGAACACATGGGAAGTGAAGTGGGGAAGACGAAGACCCTGAAACTACGGAACCATGGGGAGGGGAGTCCTGGGGTTCGTGTTATGTTGTTCCAACCTATTTTTGCCTTGATCACCAGAAAGAATTTCGAGCACCAGAACAAGTACTGAAACTCGAGGGTTGTCACGTGTCCGGCCCTGGGAGACACTCGCCCGACACTGTTTCGACACTCTGTCGACACTTCTCTGGGTGTTCGAACTGAGTTCTGGGATGTGGTCCTGAAGTACGATGGGAGCAACAGAAGGTTCGTGTCCACTAACTTGCGTTTCCCAGGGCCCCTTCAAGGGTTGACGCCCTCCGATCCAGGGCCGCCCGCGCCTTGAGAAGGCAGCCCGCGCCCTTGGCTGCCCGCGCCGGCCCCGCCCGCCCCATACCCCCCCCCGGGTGCGGCTGCCCGCGGTTGCCGCGGCCACGAGGGGAAGGGGCCCGATTGGGGATCCCCCTCCTCCTCCTCCTCCTCCTCCTCCTCCTCCTCCTCCTCCTCCTCCTCTCCTCCTCCTCCTCCTCCTCCTCGTCCTCCTCCTCCTCTCCTCCTTCTCCTCTCCTCTCCTCCTCCAATTCCTCCTCCTCCCCCGCCTCCTCCTCCTCTCCCCTCCTCCACCTCCTCCTCCTCTCCGCCCTCCTCCTCCTCCTCCCCTCTCTCCTCCCTCCGCCTCCTCCTCCTCCTCCACCTCACTCCTCTCCTCCTCCTCCCCTCCTCCTCCTCCTCCTCCTCCTCCTCCCTCCTCCTCCTCCTCCTCCTCCTCCTCCTCCTCCCCCCCCCCCTACTCCTCCTCTCCTCCTCCTCCTCCTCCTCCTCCTCACTCCTCCTCCTCCTCCTCCTCCTCCTCCCTCCTCCTCCTACCTCCTTCTTCGCCCTTAGGCCTCTCCTCCTCCTCCTCCTCCTCAACTCCTCCTCCCTCCCTCCCTCCTCTCACCACCTCCTCCTCCTCCTACCAACCTCCATCCTCCTCCTCCTCCTCCTCCGCCCTCCATCCTCCCTCACCTCCTCCTCCTCCTCCCCTCCTCTCCTCCTCCTCTCACCACCTCCTCCTCCTCCTCCATCCTCCTCCTCCTCCTCCTCCTGCCCCCTTGTCCCACGCCCCCTTGTCCTCCTCCTCCCCCCCTTGTCCTCCTCCTCCTCCTCCCTCCTCCTCCTCCTCCTCCCTCCTTCTCTCCTCCTCCTCCTCCTCCTCCCTCCTCCTCCTCCTCCATCCTCCTCCTCCTCCTCCTCCTCCTCCTCCCCTCCTCCACCTCCTACCTCCTCCCCCCTTGTCCTCCTCCTCCTCCTCCTCCTCCTCCTCCTCCTCCTCCTCCTCCCCCTCCTACCTCCTTCTTCTCCTCTGCGGAGGCGCTCCCGGGCCGGGCTGCGGAAGGACCGAGCTGGGCATGGGAATCTGTGCCTCCCAGATGGGGTCGGAGAAGATGGGATCGGAGGATCGCGCCGCATCGCCGGTGCATCGCCGGTGCGGCTCGATGTGGAGCCCGTGTCCTCGGGCCTTCTTCGGAGACGCCCCTGGGCCCGGCTTCGGGAGGACCGAGCACGGCTGGGCCTCCCAGATGGGGTCGGAGAAGATGGGATCGGAGGATCGCGCCGCATCGCCAGTGCACCGCCGATGCGGCTCGATGTGGAGCCCGTGTTTCCCCACGCCGACGTCGCCGATACAGCGCCGACGTCGCCGATGCATCGCTGGTTACTTCGGCGATGCATCGGCGATGCACTGGCGATGCGTCGCGATCTTCGGACCCCACATACTCGCACCCCATCTAGGAGGTCTCTCGGGAAGAATGGGCATCGGGCGTCCGAACAGGATGATAATACAATCGATACATTAAAATACGGGCCCCTGGGCTCAAGAGGGGCGATGGGATGAGAATACAGTCAAGACGTTGAGATAAGGGCCCTGGGCTCAGGAGGGGCGCTGGCTTTCGTGCCGTCCCTTCGATCCAAAACCCAGGGAACCAGCTCGTGGCTGGGGCTCGCCATTGCCAGAAAGCCACCCCTTCGCTTCTTACTCGGCGTTCCTTCTGGTATCACGATGTCTGCAAGTCGCTCGAGGCCCCTCCAGATCACTCTGGACCGGCCGCGACGCTCGATGCAGCTTCCAGACCCGCCATCTCTCAGAGATCCCCGATGATGTATCCTCATCCCGGCTGGTCCTCACGTTGCCTGCGTCTGATCCGTCGCGGGCCCTGGGGGCCGTCAAACGACGAGTCGGGATGAGAAGCTGGTTCCAGGGGGAAGGTCTGAGGGGCCTGCTTTCCACCACCACCACCACCATTAAGTTGGGGGAGGGAGTCCTCCCCCTCCACCACCTCCTCCTCGTCGTCCTCCTCGTCGTCGTCCTCCTCCTTCCCCCCTCCAACTTGTGGTGGTGGTGGTGGTGGGAAACAGGCCCGTCAAAGGTCCTCGGGGTGCAGAGGTCCGTTTCCCTCGTGGCCCCGGTTCCTCTCGCGGTGCTCTCCGCTCGGAGGCCTCGGGAGGGGGCCGCGCGCTCCCGCGACCGCCTGCAGCGGAGCGCGGCCTGTTCGACCCGCCAGTGCAAAACGTTGGGTGGCGTGTGTTCGCCTGCGTCGTCGTCTTCGTCGCTCTCGTTGCTCTTGTCGGCGTCCACCTCAGTCTTCTACCCTCCGCACCTCAATCCTCCCCCCTCCCCCTTCTCCTTCTGATTGTTCTTACTATGATTCCTCTTCCTCGTCTTCCTCTTTTCCGTCTGACGATGCTGAGAAGGATTAGGGTTGTTATGATGTGTAGTGGTGGTATGATTATTGATCATTTTTGTAATCGTAGTTATTATTAGTAGTGCCATTCGTAGTATGGTAATGATAATTATTTTGATGAGCATTCGCATGTCTTTTTCACGATCAGCACTATTATGTTTTTATTGCTAGTATCATTCGTAGTATTGTTCTTTATGGCCACTATTTTGATTCGTCTTACGAGTGTTATCACTGCTGTGGTTCGTCCAGGCGTTCTCCCTCGGACGAGAGGGGGCCCTGGAGGCCCAGGAGGACAGGAGGACGATGACGGGGGAGGAGGGGCACCACCTCCACCCCCTCGCCCCCCCGGAGACGACGCCCGCCTGAAGACCACGCAGCTCTCCGAGGACCGAGCCCGTCGTCTCGCCCTCGCCGCCGTCGTCGAGGCTCGAGGATCGATGCCCGTGCAAGCTCTGCGGCACTCGTTTGGCTTGCAGTGGGGGGCTCCTCGGACCATGCTGGCCGCATGATCAGGGGCAACGTCTGAGTTTCAACGTTCTCTTACGTCTTCGTCTCTTCGTCGGCCCTCGGCGATCTCCCAGCCTCGGGATGCGTTCCAGCAGCTGCGCCTTACCGAGAGCGTTCCCGGGGTGTCTGAACCTTCCCGAACGGCCCCTGGAGGGCCGAGCTCTAGCCCAAAAACCAGAGGCCAACGTGCATGGGGGGATGTGCTCAGGGGGGACGCATCGGCCCCCAATCGCCCGTGGATCGCCGATGGGGGCCTGGTGGCCCACCCCACCCAGGAGCGGTCGGATCCGCTGTCGACGGCCTACTGTCGATCCATCGGCAACGTACCGCTGATTCCAGTGCTGTTTTCCCCCGGAGCCCGCCTCCCCCGAACGTTGTCCCTCAACCGAGTCCCCGGCCAGTTGAGCGCTCACACCGGGCCGAGCAACCGGGGCGGAGCGGAGAAGGGGGAGTGCGGCAGCTGTTGCGCGCAGCTGGTTCGGCCCCGCCGCCAGGCGCGAATCACATCGTGGGATGTGTGGGACAGAATCGCTGACCAGTCGGCACACACCAGTCGCTAAGAGTTGGGCCTGCCCTGTCACAGAACAGCCAGCAAGGTTCCCACCAGCCTCCTGTCTGGTACGTTGCTGACCAGCCTGTGTTATCTCTTGGACGGCACCTCCGCCAGCGACAATCTCTGCGATGCCACAGACTCGATGCCTTGGCAGCACGTTCCAGCCGCTACAGTGGAGACCAAGGCCAAGAAACACCCTGCTTGCCTCCAGGGTGCCCTGGGTTTCTTGGGTTTCGATGGTTCTGCGATGGAAAGGGTGCCGTGCCCAAACCAAAAATTGATGGACGTCCTGGGGTCTCAGGGTTGGGTTTCTTATCGAAGGCTTCTTGTGGTCGAGCTCCCACTGTATGGCAGGGCTGGGCCTAAACGCTGTGTTGCTGGACGTCGGCTGTGTTTTGTTTATTTTGTTTTGGGAGGGGGCTACAGGAAAACAGGTCGAGCACGACGAAACACAGCACGAAGACCAAGCGAAAAACGACGCTTAGGCCCAGCCCTGCCGTAAGAGAGAGAGAGAGAGAAAGAGTCGGCGGCCGTTGCGAGCGCCTCCTCGGGGCATGCGGCTCCTGTTCCCGCGCAGGCCCTCCGAGGCCCTCCCTCGGGCGCCCGTGTCTTGGCAGGCCCCGCCTGGCGCACCCGCGCCCCGGGTATCGCTGGGGGCCGCGCGAAGGGCGCGAGAACCGTGCCGAGGAGGACGGCGGGCTCCTGGACAACGCGGCGGTGCAGCTGGGCAAGGCTGCCTGCCTGCTGCCCCGCAGCCTGGCAGGGCGCTCGCTCCGATTCCTTCGACTCCGATTCGACTCGGCATCGATGGTGTCCGACTCCGCTTCGCTTCGACCTGGTATGCCGATTTGGGTTCGATGTGTCGTTGGAGGCATGCTCGCCTGCCGATGTCCGCCGATTCGACGTTTCCCGACGTGGCTGCCGAGTTCTGCCGATCCGACCCATTTCGACCGCCGGTCCGACTTTGTCGATTCGACTCTGGGCTCCCCTGCCTGTTGCCCCGCAGTCTAGAGGTCAGGGAGCCTTCTCCCTTAGCCTCCCCCTCCTCGTCCTCCTCCTCCAGCTTCCCACGCAGTGGCCGTGCCCCACGGGCGCGGCCTTGCTCTCTGCGTCTCGCCCGTCTCGTTGCGGACCTGCCTCGTCGGGCCTCTTCGGCTTCTCTCGCAGTGGCTGAGCTGTGCTCTTCCGTTGCCGCCCGCCGCGGCAGCCAGCTGTCAGCGCGTCTAGGTCTCTTCTTGGTGGACTAGGCTACCCCACGTTGAAGTGGGCTATTTCGTGGCGGCGCGTGAAGTGGCTCAGTTCGCCGCCGCATCATTCGCGAATGTTTCGAACGGGATCGCCCCTGAAGACGCTGGAAAACAGAGTGCAAACCTGACGAGCGGCCAGTCAGTTTTCGAGGGAACACGCCAGGAAGTGGCCCAAACTTTTGCGCGAGCACGGTGATTGCTAGTTGTAGCATGAGAAGACGTAGTAATGCTGTATCACAACTACTAGAACTAGCACAACACGTACTACTACGACTTTTACTACTACTACTACTACTACTACTACTACTACTACTACGACTACTACTACTACTGCTGTCTACTACTGCTGCCTACTACTACTACTACTACTACTACTACTACTATTACTACTACTACTACTACTACTACTACTATTACTACTACTACTACTACTACTACTACTACGACTACTTCTTCTACTACTAGTACTGCTATTACTACTGCGACTACTACTACTAGTACTACCACCACTACTTCTGTTACGAGTACTAGTACTACTACTACTACTACTACTACTACTACTACGACTACTCCTTCTACTACTAGTACTGCGATTACTACTGCGACTACTACTACTAGTACTACCACCACTACTTCTGTTACGAGTACTAGTACTACTACTGCTGCTGCTACTACTACTACTACTACGACTACTACTGCTACTACACTTACTACTACTACTACTACTACTACTACTACTATTACTACTACTACTACTACTACTACTACTACTACTACCACTACTACTACTACTACTACCACTACCACTATGACTAGTAGTAGTACTACTACTACTATTTTGCCGTTACTTCTACTTCTACGACTACTACCGCCACTACTACTACTACTACTACTACTACTACTACTACTACTACTACTAATACTCCGAACTACTCCTGCTAGCACTACTGCTACCACTGCTACTACTACTACGACGACCACTACCACCACTACTACTACTAATACTACTACTACTGCTGCTGCTGCTACTATTACTACTATTACTACTACTATCACGACCACGATTACGACTACGACTACTCCTACGACGACGTCGATTACTACCACCAATACTACTACTGCTACTGCGTTTACCCACGATAGCAACATGATAATTCATACTACAACTACTACGATGACGACTATAACCATTACTATCCCTGCTGCTGCTGTTCTCATAACGATTACTACTGTTAGAGGTACTACTACTACTACCACCACCACTACTACTACAACTACTACTTCTACGACTACATTTTTTAGTTTTACTATTATTCCTACTCCCACCACTACTACTACTACTACTACTACTACTACTGCGACGACGACTACAAGTACGGCTACTATGACTGCGACTTCGATTACTAGTACTACTACGGCGACGCCGACGACGACGACGACTGCGACTGAGTAGGACGACTAATATGAGTGCCTCGACTACTCCAGCTGCTACGGCGACGATGATTGCTACTACCCAACAGTAACTGGGCATGCTCCTGGACAATATCCTCAACTACAGTAAGACTGTGCTCGTTCCGATCAAAGCTAGCAGGCGACATCATATTCAATGCTCTGAACACTAATCTAAACACCCCTTCCACGTTCTATCAGAACCGCTAGCCGCAACATCATCCGACCTACTATCCTAAACCATACCCTAAGCACCGTCCTAACCACTATTCCATACATAACCACACACGATCTATTGATGCATGTCCTCAATCGCATTATACACCATCATATCATGACCAGCATCCCAAGCAGTATGCAACCTACCATCCTAACTGGTACGTATCCTGGGAAATATCCTGAACACTGTCATCAGAGATGTCTTAAACCATATCCTACGCAAGGTCGACGCCAGTATGACATTTGAAACCAGTCTGGCCACGACCATCGTAAACCAACCCTTCGAACCAACATAGAGAACACTGCAGAGCATACACCTTATCCAACTCATTTTCAGAACCACAATCCTAGACGCAATATTGGCCAACTTTCAAGATGATAGTGTACACACCATCCTAAGCATTACCCTGAGTAAGCACATGATCAATAGTACGGGAGTTATCGTAATCATCTCCTGAACAGCCCCCGACCAACATCGTACCCAGCATGTCGCACCACATCACGAGCAGTTTCCTATGCAATGTTGTAAATTGCAATCCCTACGACGCGTCCACTACTGTTACTCACCATGGTCTCACCAATATCCAAAGCAGTAGTGAAGGGCATGCCCCCAACAACATCCGACACAGTACCCTGAGCCATATCTAGACTGATCTCATACCCAGCACCTTCACCAACAACACAACCAGCTTTCTGATCAATATCCCCACCACGTTCCAAATTCACATTTCAAGCACTATCCTAAAGCCTTGACAGCTCCTGTACCCCAACCAGCCCAGCCAACAACAGAGGCCAGTCGAGTTGTTTTTATCATGGATGTATATCAGCATGCGGCCCATCAGTGGACAACCTCCGTCTTCGAATCGTTGCGTGTCTCTGGAGGCCCCCTTGGAAGACTACGACGACGACGACGACGGCGACGGCGACGACGATGACGACCACTCTTGTAGTCATCGTGGAGCGCTTTTAGGGTCATCGTGGAGGCATCTTGGGCCCTGTCGGGGCTCTCTCGGGGGCTCTCTTGGGGCGCTCTTGGGGCTCTATTGGGACCCTCTTGGAGGCCTTGGGGGGCATCTTGGAGGCCATCGGTCAAAAGAGGAGGGTCGCAGATTCCCCCCCCCCCACATCGGAGCCCTCGAAACAACCTCTTGGGGCCCTCTTGGGGCGGTCTTGGGCACCCTTGGGGCCGTTTTGGGCCTCTCTTGGAGTTTTCTCAGGCTACCTCGGAGCCATTTAGAGGGCTCAGGAGCCCATTGGAAGCGAATCGGCGAGAAGGCGAACATCGTTGATTGTATGTTTTGGCTTTTGAGCGATTTTTGCCTCATGGAGGTCTCCTTGGGAGGCTAGGAGGGCACGAGGAGCTGTCCTGGGGCGGTCTTGAGGGCTCTTGGAAGCATGTTGTGTTGGAAGATGTCGTGAACCGTGTTGGAGTATCTCTTGAGCGATCTTGCAGGTCATCTTAGGCTCTCTGGGGCCATCTTGGAGCCATCTTGGATGCTCCAGCGCCTCGCGAAACGCCCCCTCCAGACCAGGGGGGAGGGGGGAATGGGAAGGGAATAAGGGTTAGCAGAACGAGCCCCCTCGACCGTTCACGCCCAGTGGGCTGGCGGGGTTATGTCCTGAGCAGCTAACTTGGACGACGAATAGCTACGACTACTGGAGGCAGCACCTGTGCCTCTCAGGACTGACGCACGTGTAGCGCTTGTGCCTCGAAGATTTGAGCGCGGGCAGCGTCTGCCTCTCAGGTATGTTCGAATGCAACTCTTGGGATGTCAAATTCTGATTTAGCCCTGGTCCGAAATCCCGCCTAATCTGGCTTAATCCCATTTAATCCGGCTTAATCCCGTTTAATCCCGCTTAATCCCGCTGGATCCGAGGCCCACTCTGGCGTAACAGCCCCCCAATGGGACTTCATCCTCCTTAATCATTCCGACGAAAACCTCACAGTAGTTGCCTCCTAAGGTATGAGTGCGTGTATCGCTCGTGTCTCGAACGTTCAAGTGCGTGTAGCCTCTGTGCCTCCATGGGGTGCAGGTGCGCGCGCTGCGTGTGCGCAGACGGCACCGGGCGCGCGCCGCGCGCGCGCGGGCCCGCGCGCGCGGCGCAGGGGCCGCCAGGAAGTTGCCAAGCTCGTCGCTGAGTGGATTTGATTCGGCCCGCGTCGGGTGCCCCACGGGCCCGGCCTCGTCCTCCGCGTCCTGCCCGTTGAGATAACATCGGCTGTGCCGCGCCGCGATGCCCTGAGCTCGGCTAATTTCAGCATGGCGACTGTTCCTGCTCGTTTGCGCTGCGGCGACGCCGCGGTCGTCCCGCGCTGTCTGCGCAGGACCAGGAGACCTTTTTGCTATCACCTGGCGACACCGGGCGTGACTGCGGGTGGGGAGATTTTTGGATTTCGACGCTGGCGGACCCGATAGGTTGTCAGCAAAGTGCGGCGTTGCACCTTGCAGACAACTTACATACTAAATAGTTCTGTGCGGGCACCACGTCGGGTTTGCAGGTGCAGTGAACAGTACGAGCCGAGGCAAGAGTGCACTGCGGAAACAGCAAGACCAGCGGCAAGGGCGGGGGGGGAGTGTGGGGGGAGGGGCCGGTCACGTCACGATTCGCACAAGCGCCATCGGGTAATGATTCAAGCAAGGCCAATTCCCAGGCGGCGCCGGCGCGAAGCGTGACGTGACCAAGGGGTGGGGGCTGGGGCCAGTCACGGGCTTTATCGCGAATGGTAAGAAGACGGGCTCTTGCCGTCAGTAGCGCGTGCCCTCGGCGGTGCCCTGGATTCGGCGTCACCCAAAACTACTTATGTTATATGTGCGTCGCCCCACCAGGGGCGACGCGCGCACCAAGAAATCTTATAGTATATGCGTCGGGGCGGGCGTTTTCTGGCCAGACGGCCCTGGAAGTGACATATTACAAGATGGGTATATTATATGTTGCGCGTCTTTAACGAGGACATGTAGTACTAGTATGTCGTTGTGCCTCCCGTGGGTCCAGGTCGCCCTGGAGGGCGCGAAGAGCATCGCGCTTGGCTCGTCGCGGTCTGTGCCGGAGCGGCTGCCCTTTGCAACTGGGGGCGGCGCGGAGGCGCGACGGCGTGGAGATGGTGGCGCATCGCGGGGCGCGGTGCGCGAAGTTGGGTCATGTCTGCTGCGGGTCGGCGCGCGTCGGCAGGTCGCCCCCTGACCCTAATAGCACAATGAGACGTAGCTGAACTTACCCGATCATCGATCACAGCAGATCCCAGAATGAAATAAGGATGCCCGTATCAGTGATAATTACATATCCCCAGTAGCATACTGATACCCTATCATCGAGAGTAACATGCCCCGTAACCCTAGCAACACAGTGAGACCCATATCGTCGAAAACAAAAGCTCCCATAACCCTAACAGCACAACGAAGACGTAGCGTAAAGTAGGTCCCCGTCTCTGCATCATGGATCACCAAGCTGCGTGGTATGGTTGGATACGTCTGCTGAAAATGCCCCCGTATCCCACATGTTCTGGGCCTCTCAAGTCAGGTCCGCTCCCAGAGCGTTGATGGGCCCTTTTTAAAATTCTCATCAAGATCTGTGCGTGCGCAGTGGAAACACTTGTTTTTGTTTGATTTTGTTTTTGTTCGCAGCGATCTGTCTAGAGCCGTGCACATGATCTGCCGCGCATTTTGATACACCTGCTCTTCGCGTGATGAGTGACCGACTACACAGCCAAGATGTTCGCCAGGCACGCGAAGGGAGTAAACAGACCCGTTGCGATCTGTTTCAAGCCGTGCACATGATCTGCCGCGCATTTTGATGCACCTGCTTGTCGCGTGATCAGTGGCCGACTGCACAGCCAAGGTGTACGCCAGGCACGCGAATGGGAAACAAGCAGATCCGTGCGTGCGCCGGGCTGCCCAGGGCGGGGCCGTGCAAGGAAGAACCGCGCGGGGGTCGCGCGGGGTGGCGCCGCACGCCGTGCCATGGGGTTTCGCGCGGGTGTTGTTCGTTTGTTTTCTCTCCCCTCTCTCTCTCTCTCCCTCTCTCGCTCTTCCTGCTCGGTCACCGTCTTTGTGTAGTATTCGTTCTCCGGTTTCTCCGCATATCTTCTGTCAGCAAAGCATGGGGGCCTTGCGTACGTTGCTAATTTTGTTTTAAGCGTCGGTTAGCGTCGATCAGCGAGCGTCTGGGCGTCGATGAGATAGCGCCGATGCAGCGTCGATCAGCGTCGATCTAGCGTCGACCAGAGTCGATTTAGCGTCGACTAGCGTCGATTCGTAAGAGCCGACAAGATGGTATGGGAGGCTCCCATGAGTTGCCACCGAACTAACTTCATGAAGCATAAGGCAACCCCCAACCCTGATAACATAATGCGATCGTGGCCAAACTTAGGTGCACAGTGTTTGGGGATATGTTTCGTTTGCTACGCCTACAGAAAAGACCCCTCATCCCAATCTTCTGTGGCCCTCCTAACTGAAGTCCCCTCCCAAAGGGTTAGGGGTAATGCGATTGATTGTCATGTCTCTCTCCAGCTCGTGCGATCGTCTCCCCCACTTGGCTCCTGTCTTCGCGGACGTCGGCATTACAGCATCGGCGCCAAACAATTGGAACACTTGGTGGTCGACACTTGCACGGACGACGACGGCGATGTCGGCTCTCTCTCTCTCTCTCTCAACAGTGGAGGCCAATGCCAAGAAACACCCTGCTTGCCTCTAGGGTGCCCTGGGTTTCTTGGGTTTCGATGTTTTTGCCCTGGAAAACGTACCGTGCCCACACCGAAAATCGATGGATGTCCTGGGGTCTCAGGGTTGGGTTCCTTGTGGAAGGTCTCTTGTGGACTGGCCTCTACTGTAAGCGCGTCTCCTGAGGGCCCTCGCCCCCCCCCCCCCGCGCCGCCCTCGCAGGGCCAGCCCCCCTTGGCTGGCATGGCGCTCTCGCCTCGCCACGCCTCCTCCTAACCAGCTCGGAGCATATCCCTACCCTTACGTTGGGCGTGTACCTACACAGGGGGTATATTCAAGAATAGTGAAAGATAGTCTGGGGGCGATGTTTTGACTATTCTTGAACATCCTCCAAATTCCGCCTGTAGGGGGACATGCCCGACCTAACCCTACCCCGATGTCTGACACCAGCTCACCTCGGGGACGATCTTAGGGATTCCCTCAGTTTCTGAGGGCGCATCCCTAACATTGTCATCGCCCTGCGGTTGCCGATCTCAGGGATCGGGATAGGTTTGAGGCTGGTCATCATCGGGGGGAGCGTCCAGGGAGGACTGACCCGCGGGTGCCGGTGGCCGTGGCTCGGTGGCCAGTGGCCGGTCTCGGGGTGGCATCTCGAGGCGCGTCGCAGCGGCGGCGCAGATGTGACTCCTGGGGCGGGCCTGTGCCGCCGTTCATGTTGCGAGGTCCGACTGCCTGTGAATTCACGCAGGCTCCTTGGGCACCTCCCTTCGGGTTGCGTCGCCCAGGTGTTCTGTCCGGGCGCAAAAAAAAACACAGACTGACCCGCGGGAGGGATCGGCGACCCCCAACATCGCTCAATTTTTGTTCGCCCCCCTCGGGGCACCCAGGGTGCCCCACCCCGCCCGGGTCGGCCACGAGCCGAGAGGGAGGTATGGGAGAGGGGGGAAAGCTCCTTCGAAGCGCCCCCCTGCTTCCTAGAAGGCACGGGCCTTCTCTACAGGTGTAGCGCTGGCGCCTTCCAAATAGCAGGGCTGCTCCTAAGAAGCCTCCCCCCCTCTCCCTACCCCCTTTGTGCGCGCCGCCAACCAGGGACGTGTGGTGTCGCTGTCGGGAGCCCTATCGCCCACCCGGCGGCGAATTATCGCCGTTTCCAGGTCAGTGTTTCCCCCCATTTTGAGGCAGTTGTAGCTTTTTACTTCATCGAATCTTCTCTATTTTTGAGATCCAGAGTGAGCTCGTAGCTCTGCCAATTTGTCTACAATCTGCAGCTTTGCCTTTATCTTTCGAAGAGATCTTGCTTTTTTTTCGCGACGGCCTTGGCAAGTGACTGGGGGCTCTACGAGGTTTGCGGTTGTAGACAGGTTGCCTCGTAGTGGGCTTTTCTTTCGGAGACGCAAAGGAGTGCGCGCCGATATCCATTCCACGCGGAATTATGTTTTTTGATGGTTTCAGTGTGCAGGCGCGCCCTGCCGCGCGGTGGGTTCCCCTCGCATCTCAGAGCGCGTTTAACTTCACAAGACGAGGGATTCACTTTGCACGTTGCGCATGCTATCGCGTGCCCATCATGCGTGGCTTGAACTATTTCGCAAACGTTGTCTGGCGAGGCCTTACGAAGGCCCTCTTAGGGGCCCGTCGGGGTCGCAGAGTGCCGAGAGCACTCGACACCCATTGTCGACAGTTGGCAAATTCAGCGCCGCCGAAGGAGCCGCCAAAATTGCCGCCGAAAAGGCCGCCGAAAGAGCCGTCGAAAGGGCCGCCGGAGATGCCGCCGAAATTGCCGCCGAAATTGCCGCCGAAGTCGCCGCCGAAATTGCCGCAAAAATCATCGCCCAAATTGCCGCCGCAATTTCCGCCGAAGCTCCGGATTGCGCCGCCGAAGCCAGAACGAATTTGACCTTCGCTGTGACTCTATGCCTGTGTCCACGGCGTCATCGCGCATAACAAAGCAGTAGTTCCGTTTGGGGCAAGGCAGTGAACACTTCGGCGGCTGAATTTCGGCGGCTATTATTGACGGAGTTCGCAATACTTCCGGCGGTACGTTCGTCGGCGGCTTCGGCGGGAAATTCGGTGGCGATTTCGGCGGCGATTTCAGCGGCAATTTTGGCGGCGATTTCGGCGACGATTTCGGCGGCCCTTTCGGCGGCCATCCTGGCGGCTCGTTCAAGGACCATTTCGGCGGTTTTGCTTGTGACAGCTGTCTTCGAAGTCTGCTTGGAGCTAGCAGCTTGCGCCTGTGGCACAGAGTCGATGTGCTGCGACGGAGGCTGACGCGCCCTCCGCGCAACGATGGTTGTAAGATTTGTTATGTTCTGGTCTTGGCGGTGGTGATGGCGACGGCCGCAGTGATGTTTGGTTCAACGCGGATGTTCGTCAGAGGGCTTTGCAGGCGGGCCTACGCGCCCAGCGTTGCATGTTTTCAAATGCCGCGCCAATCCTTCGGAATTCGGCGGCTATGTTGGGGGGTCGTGGTGGCTCCAAAGGATGGTCCTCGGTGGCATGCCCTCTGCACGCTCTCGGTCCCTGTGCCTCGCTCGCTGCTCCTCGAAGCGCCCCGCGCCGCCCTCGGGCGTCCTTTCGCTGGCGCCCCGTCCCGCGCGCAGGACCTGTTCGATGCCCACGAGCAGGACGGCCCCTCCTTAAGCCGGCAGGGCGAGACAGAGGGGGGGAGGGGGGTGGAGGTGATGAGTGGATGCAAGGGGGGGGGGGGGAGGAGGCGGAGGAGGAGGAGGAGGGGGAAAAGGAAGAGGAAGTGGAGGAGGACGAGGAGGAGGAGGAAGAGTAGGATGATGATGGGGAGGAGGAGGAGAAGGAGGAAGACGAGGGAAGGCGAGTGCATGCAGGAGGAGGGAGGCGGATGCACTGGGGGAGGGATCTATGTGTTGAGACTTGCGGAAACAAGGTTCAATGTAAGAGAAACGTTCCATTGCCAGTGCTGCTGGTGCGCTTACCGAAGCCAAGAAGCAGCTCAACATGGCAATGCGGGGGATTCTGGGCCACATGGGGGCTTCCGGAAACGAGTTCAAAAACAAGCTGGCCAACAATTGTGGCAACGCAGTGTACCGACCTGAATGGTGGACTCGCCCTTACAAGTTTACCAACTGGAACCAGGAAAGCCTCCGGCTCACCCTCCAGACTCGGCAGATTGACGGCCCAGCGACTCGAAACAGGTCTCCGCGGGCGACCGCCAGCGTAGCCAAAGCCACAGAGCCAGGCAAAACGGCTCCCTTCTCGGTTATCCGAAGGCCGAGTTTGTCCCGACAGCGTACCAACTCCACCTCAAAGACGTCACCAGGGCCACCTCCAACGCAGCGTCTGAACACGGCGCACCGAGGCGAAATATACCACGACGTTTGCCACATGACCATCCCGAGGTTAGCGCGCTGCGGATGGCGGAGAAGGATCGGCGAAAAGAGCAGAGACCGGTGGAAAACACAAACTTTCTGTGGAGGTTTGCCGGAAACGGTGAAAAGTCCGGGCTCTACAGCAAGCCGTGCGATGCGAACACGCGGCTGGAATTACTCGAGTGTCAGCATGTGCGCCCATGCGGAACAAGAACAGGTTCACAGCGCAGAATTTGCACGACAACGCAACGGATGGCGTCACCTACGACACGACCGACGAGGTCCAGGATGACATTACCAAATAGTTCGACCGTTCGTGCGAAGATGTCGGCGATTCAACGCTACCAAATTGGTTATGAAAGACGTGGCAGTGGAAGGACCTCGCGACGTTGCCAGACGTCACGGGCTCTTCCGTCAAGCATATCGCCTCACGCTTACATCCTGTAAGTATTGCGCTGACGACCGCATCGTGGCCGACATGTTGTTTGAGTTCGATGACGACATGTTCGAAGCCATTGTTTTGATTTTCAACATGCGGATGATCAGCCACCCAAGCGAGGATAATGATAGCTCGTGGACGCAACATTGCGTTCGCATGCTTCAGAAGAGAGCCAACACGACCACCATCCAGCACTTCAGACCCATAGCTCTCAGACCTGTCTTTTGCAACATATCGTTGAAGTTGCTACTAACAGTGGCAGGCCCAGCGATTGGTCAATTGAGGGCGCCGTAATTTGCTCTTCGGGCAGGGTTCCTTTCGCGCGGGAGAGCTGGTGTTCATCCAGAGAAGTATCATCGAGAAGGCAATCGAGTGGAATGTGCACGCCTTCATCTTGGACGGTGACATCCATAAGGCGCACGACTGCACACGACGCCAGCCTTGAATTTAAAGGATTGACACAACAGAGGGTTTGTTACAGATTGATTGCTGGATGGATCATTGAAGTTCGCCGCACCAGACCTGCATTCGAACTCGGCCCTCACTTCATTCTGAGCCGGTTTTCAGCAGATCTTGGCTGCATCGTGACCCGGCCGCCCCGGCGATTTTCAATGCTGCTTTGGACTTGCTGGCCGAAATTTTCGCGGAGTGGCCTCGAGAGCGAGAGTGCGGAATGCAGCTTCACTCTGACAGTTGGGCATCTCCCGTCTCGTATGCGGACAACTCCTGGCTTGTCGCAGCGTCGCCGTCCATGCTTTCGGACATGGTGCAAACGTGGTTCTCTTTTGCAAGCAGACGGGTGGTCGACGCCGCTCGAAGAAACCATTCGACGCACGACCGCGGAGGATAATCAATTCCATAGTGCCCACGCGCGCGGCTGGCAGATATCCAGAGCCGCGCGGAAAGTTGGCTTCGAAGCGCTAGGTGCACAGATCACGTTCAGCAGCCGCTCTTCTAATGGAATATATGCGCGCGTTGAAGGAATTGGCGCGCCTTCTTTAAGCGTGACAAAACATTCTGTGCTGCCGCAGAGCCCCTTTGGCAAGGGGGCCCCACTTCTTGTGTCTTGCGCGTACTTGTCGAGGGCGCATTAGTCTGGCGCGCGGGAAGTCGGACGCGCGCGCAAGCTCAGCCATCTCAGTTAAAATGTGCTCGGCAGCACACGGTGCGCAACATGTCGAGACTCAAACGCAGGCCCGGCGAGCTTGGCGACGCATTCTGCTCCAGAACAAAGGGGGTGTCTGGATTGCGCTATCCCATACCAAGATCGAGAAGCGAGATGCACGCTATTTCCGCGCGTCCTTCAAGTGGGCTAGATATTTACAGAGCGGCAGCGGCAACCCGACCAGGTTGAGCTCCCAGCCGATGCTGCACGGATTGCGCTTGGTTGCAAAAAATCACGGCATCCCGCAAGGGCAACCAGCTGCGCTGCCGGAAGTTCCGTACCTGGAGATGGGAGACGCCATTGTGCCAGTTGTTCGAAGGGGCCATTGGGCCGTGGACGACGGCGGCCGCAGCATGTCGTCGATGGAACAATGCGCCGGGCGATCTTGCCCGCCGCAGGTGAAACGTGCAGCTACATCCAGAAAGGGAAGTTCCACAATCGCGAGGCACTGATGTGGGGTTTGTGGAGGTTGCTGCCCGCGGTCGACAGTCCGACTGCGCCGCGTTGGTCATTGGTTATCGGAAAGGGGGGTGGCGGGCGCCGCCGTGCGCTGCGCTGGTGGCCCCGAGGCTACGAATTCCCCGAGAGGAGGAGGAGGAGGAGGAGGAGGAGGAGGAGGAGGAGGAGGAGGAGGAGGAGGAGGAGGAGGAGGAGGCCAGAGGCGTTCTCTTGGGACAGCCTGGGGCTCTCTTGAGGCCGTCTTGGGCCGTCCAGGGCTCCTCTTGCGCCGTCTCGAGGCATTCTTGGAGGCCTCCTGGGCATTTTGGGGCTGTCCTGGGCTGTTTTGGGGCAGTTTGGGGGCCCCTTGGGAGCCTCTTGGGGCCTCTTGGGGTTTCTTCGGGGCCTCTTTGGGGCTTCCTGGGGCTGAGAGCTCGAAATGTCCGTTCGGGTCCCCCGACTGGGCACTCTCCTGGAGCTGTCTTGGGGGCCTCTTGGGCCGTCTTGGAGGCGTCTTGGGCCGTCTTGGGGTCCCCTTCGGCCGTTAGGGGACCCTCTTGGGGGCCTCCTGGGCCGCCTCGGGGCGATCTTGGGGGCCTTTTGGGCCGACTTGGCGCGTCGGGAATCGGAAGGGGCAGTAACACCAACATTTTTCAGAAACGCATGGGAAATCCACAGATTTTGCCTCTTGGGGCTCTCGTGGGAAAGCTCCTGGAGGCCTCTTGGGGCGCTTTGCAGGCCTCTTGGGTCGTCTGGAGGCCGTCAAGGCGTCTTGGACAGATCGTTCGGCGATTCGGGGTTCTCTTGGACTGTCTTTGGGGTTTCTTAGGGCACTCTTGGACCATCTTGGGGCTTTTTTGCGCTCCGGGACTCCCAGGGGGGGCGTCGTATTTGACACCCCCCCAGGGACACCCCCCGGGGGACCCCCCCCGGGGACCCCCCCCCCGGCGGGGGAGGGATCGAAGGGAAGGAGCTTCCCTTCGACTCAATTACGACGTTGCTCAATTTCGCTTTGGCTGGCGCGCTGAGGAGGTCCCTGGGGAAGGGGTGAGCTTCGACGAGCCCAGGGAAAGGGGGAGGCAGGGAAAGGGCACGACAGATACGACGACCGACGTATGACGGAGATGACGACTTGAACGGACAAGCCCCTCACACACGCCGACAGGGTCATGCGTGAATTATTTTTTGGAGGCCCGCACGGTATCATTGGACCAACGCTGAAAACCTTCCCGGCGCTTCTGGCACCGCCTTCGGTTTTCTCCGCGCGCCAGGGAAAGGTGTCCAGCGCCGATCCGGAAACCCGCGCGGACCTCCAACATTTTGCGTGCATGCCGCTTTCTCTCGTCTTCAGGAGGAGAAGGAGGAAGAGGAGGAGGAGGAGGAGTAGGAAGAGGAGGAGGAGGAGGAGGAAGAGGAGGAACGCAAGAGGGGGAGGGAAGGGAGGATGTCTACTAATTAGCAGGACCTCTTCGACCTCGGCCTCGGCGGCGGCGGCGCCAACGCCTCGGCCCACGAAGAGGCGAAATCTATCAACGGCGCACCTGCGGAGGATATGCACGACGGTAACCTGTGCGACGAGGACGAGGAGTTGTTCGCCAAGCTTTGCTACAAGAAGTGCAGCCTGATCACGCACGGCAAATATCCGAGACGAACCACCGCGTGGTCCTGCTGCGCGGCGGGCGACGAAACCGAGAAGTGCGGCCTCTTCAACCAAAAGCTCAGCCTCAAAATCTGCTCCGGGTACGACATCAGCGGCGACAGGGCGGGCAACGGCTGCCCCCACCCGGCGGGCGCGTGCCTCGAGAACGAGGAGGTCCACCTCGGGCGCTGCTTCAAGAGGTGCAGCGAGCTCACGGACGGCGAGTACCCCACGCGCATCGCCGCCGCCACGTGCTGCAAGGCCACCGAGGAGTGGAAGTGCCTCGACCCCAGGATCAGGGCTGGACCCAAACGCTGTTCTGGCGATTTCGTGGGCCGTTTTCGTTTCGACTTCGTGTTGCGGCAAAGGCGGATTTAAGACAAAGCCAGGGAAAACGAACACACAGCGAAAACGAAAAACACCGTTTAGGCCCAGCCCTGCCCAGGAACGTGAAGACCCGGTCGTCGTTCAACGTCGGCGGCGGCAAGGGCGACGGGGACAGCCGCACGCCCAGTGGGCCCCACTGGCCGAAGACCGCGTGGACCGAGGCCACGGAGTCCTAGGGGCGGCGCCCGCTGCCGGCGCCTCTCCGCGGCCCGCCGCGCCGAGGCCTTCCCGCGGGGCGGGGGCCGCCGCGCCGCCGCCGGAATTCGCGCCCGCGCTCATCGCGCGCGCGCGGGCCGCCCTGCCCCCCAGGGAAGTCTGGGGGAAGGGCCTGGACATTTGTTGGGAGCCTCGGGGAAGTCCGGGGCCACGCAGGGGGGAGCACGCATCGGCCCCCCATCGCCCAACGATCGCCGGTACAGTCAAACCGCACAGGAAGGATGGGCAAGCTTCCAAAGGATGCCCTCGCACCCCTGCCTCCTCGGCCCATCCTTCGCCACTTCCGTCGGCCGCGCCCCGCTCGAGAAGCTTCGCCCTTGCATCATGATCGCGCCTCCTCACTATACGGGCCGACTGTGGGGGCCAGACTGCCCACCCCGCCCAGGAGCGTTCAGGAGAGGAAAAAACACACAGACACAATTTATCCTCGATTCTCAGAAAATATGGGAAAGTATGGGAAGTGGGGGGGAAGACAGAAACCCAGAACATATGGGAAAATATGGGGCATCTTTTATTGGTGTGTATTTCTTTGTGTGTCCTGGGGCCCCTTCAAGCGTGCGGATCCACACACAAAAGGGCGGCGCATCGCGGATTCGTTCTCGAGGTTTCCCCCGCCCGGAGTCGGCCCCCCCCCGCTGGGCGTTCCCGTTCACCACAGGCTGTCTCGGAGCCTCTCGTGGGAGGCCCCCCCCGCGGCTGGCCGAGGCCCAGGGGCGCTGGAGTCGGGGCTCGGGAGGAAAAGAGACACACAGACACACAATTGATCCTCGATTCCCCCAGCAAAACACCGGAAAACATGGGAAGTGTGGGGGGGAAGACAGAGGCCCAGAAAAGATAGAGAAATATGTGGGGGATCCTTTTATTTGTGTGTCTTTATTTGTGTGTCCCGGTTCCCCTTCCAGGGTGGCGGCTGGGATTGGAACGCCCGAAGTGGGTCCGGGCAAAGTTGGCACAGTGCCAACAACAATTTCGGCGGCGAGCGAGGGGGGGGACGTGAGAAGGAGGACTTCTCAGAAGCCCTCCAGCCTCCTGAGGCGTGTTTGTGTCTTCATGGAAGGGTTCGAAGACTCTGCAGAAGGCTGGGGGACTTCCGAGCCTTCTGACCGTTTCTCCCTCCCTCCCCCGGGCTCGCCGCCGAGAAGTGGGTACGGAACAAGCATGGGCACAGTGCCCAACAGCACGTGTGGCCCAGAACCGACAGCGGCCGCCGTTGGGCAGGGCCGTTTTTTCACCGTTTCCAAAAAATGTTCATTGAGAATGGAAGCGGCAAAAAAACGGCGACCGGAAACGGCCAAGAAACGGCTCCAGGATCGGAACTGGAGCCGGAACCGGTCAAAAAACGGCGACGGAAACGGTAAAAAAACGGCGTCGGAACCGGAAACAAAAACGGCAAAACGGAACCGGTAAAAAAACGGCCCTGTCGTTTCCAGGGCCAGGGGTTGGTTCGGGCATGTCCGTCCACAGGAGGACTGCTCAAACATAGTCTAAGCAACAGGTTGGGGGCGAGATGGGTATGCTCTGAGGATGCGCTCGGGGTGGTGTGTGACTTTTTTTGTTGTACCTTCCTCCTACATCCGCAGGCAATGCGGGGGACATGCCAGGACCTGAGGCTGGGACGAGTGCCCCGCCCAGGGTCCATCCTGGCCAGTCCGAGGCCGTGTGGGGCCACACTGGCGCGGAAGCAGTGCTTGACATCCCCCGGCCTCGCCCCCCTCCCCCCCTCTTCTGCCACGGAGCAAGCATTAAGTCGGGCGTGTGTCCCTCTACAGGGGGGAGGTTCAACAATAGTAAAAAAATAGTCAGGGGACGATATGTTTGACTATCTTTGAGTATTTGGGGGGTATTTGTTGGGGGTATTTTTTGAATTATTTTTCGCTCAAAATCCGCCTGTAGAGGGACAGGCCCGACTTGCAGCAAGCAGGCGACCTCGATGGAGGGAGGTCTTCGAGCGGCCCCGATGCAGGGAGGCTCCCTGGACCGCGCGGGCGCCCCCTGGAGCGTCGTGCGCGGCCCTCCCTGTAGTTTTAAGTCGGGCTTGTACCTCTGCAGGGGGGACATTTCAAAATAGTCAAAAATAGTATGGGGACGATTTTATTGACCATTTTGGGGCATCTGGGGAATATGTTTTGGCTATTTTTCATCGTTCGCCCAAAAACCCCCTGTAGGAGGACAGGCCCGACTTAACTGTAGTGTCGTTTCGCGGCGTGCCCTGGGCCCCAACCCCGTCGACGCCCGACCAACACTTCAGCATCGTTTAAACCGATTCCTAGGCCCATCCCCATCCACACCTCGGGCCCCACCGTCTCACCACCTCGGTTGGGGATATGCCCCTCGAAGCCCGAAGAGGGCAGCCTATGTCCCCCTATCGGGGGGGTAGATCGGCCAGTGGGACCCAGCACACGCTGGCTTGGCATCGCTCGGACGTGTGCATTTCTCCTTCGGCGAGGACCGTCGAGGAGCATCCCTGATCATTTGGCGAAGAAGCCACGCACGAAACCGACAACACAAACAAAGGGAATGGACGCCCGAGCGATGCCCACGCTGGTGGGGATGGGGATCGGTGAAACGACGCTCAACATCTGCTCCCGGGGACCCCTCCCAGAGGCCCACCCCGGCCAGGCCTTGCTCCCCGGCCGCTCCCCGGCCCGGGGCGCGAGAGCACCCAGCAGCGCCACGGCGCCTTCGAGCCGACGACGCCGCCGCCGCTTTCCCTTGGCATCGCTCGGACGTGTGCATTTTCCCTTCGGCGAGGACCGTCGAGGAGCATCCTCGATCATGTCACGAAAAAACACGCACGAAACCGAAAAAAGCACAGGGAATGGACGTCCGAGCGATGGCCAGTTCCCTCCGCCGCCGCGCCGCCGCCACCGCCGCCGTCGACGTCAGCGCCGTCGCCGTCGCGGTCCTCGGCCAGCAGCGGCCCTTCCCTCGGAAGGGGCAGGGCGAGTACGAGGGGATTCGGTCCGTTCCAGAGCGCGCCAGGACGCTCTCGGAGCGCTCCGGAACGCTCCGAGAGGGCCGCGGCGCCCGAGACATCCCACAGAGTCGCTGGATTCCTGAGATTTTCGATTGATCCTCGCCCGAATTTGTCCTCGTCCTGGCTTCGCCTCAGGGAGCGAGAGAGCCGTACACGTCAGAGGGGCATTGGCAAGATGGTGATTTTAGTCGGCGGCGAGTGGGGGGGGAACGAGAGAAGGAGGAGACCCTTTCAGAAGGCGGCGGGGCTTCTCGGAGGCCCTCCGGCCTGTTCTGAGAAGTGCCCTGTGTCCTCGGGGGGAGGGGGGGCTCAGAGAACTTCCCGGAAGGCGGGGGAACTTCCGAGCCTTGTGAGAGGGCCCGCCCCCCCGCACCTCCCCCGGGCTGGCCGCCGACGGTGGCCGATCTGCTGTGTCGGGGGCCCCCCAAGCGGGGTGGTGGCCACGCCGTGCGGTGGGTCGGTGGGGAGTCGGGGTCACCGCACGCTGCTGGGGGCCCCGAGCCCCTCTGCGAGGACGGCTGGGGCGGCAGGGGCCTCCGGGGTTCCAGGGCCGTGCGGTGGCGCACCGTGCGGTGAGGGCTTTTGGGGTTCCGAGGTCACCGCACGGTCCGTCGCCACACGGCTTCGGGATCCCCGATTTGTTCGCCAGGCGCGCTCCCCGTACTCGCAGGGTGTCTGTTCGCAGACGTCCGAAAAGAACAGAGGCTTGCTTCGATGAGATTTGTCGTGGATCCCCCGCGGCGGTGGATCCACTTAGGCAGGCCACTTGCGAGTAGTTATTCAATTGAACGCCCCTGAGGGGGCAGACACCGCCGCCCCACTTTTTGTTTGAAACGCGGAGGTTGCGTGGGGGGCAAATCGGAATGTAGCGGGGGTGTTCACTCAGCTTTGGCTGGGCTTTTGTTGAGTGGGGTTTTAAAGACTCTCAGAAAGCCCCAAGAGAGCCAGAAAATCACCTAAAAAAGACGCCAGATTGGACAATAAGGTCTCAGAGGGCCTGGAAAAATACGAAAGTGGGGTCTTCAAGCCTCTCAGGAAGCCCCAAGAGAGCCGGAAAATGGTTAAACAAGACGCCAGAAAGCCGTAAGAGAGTCTGAACATTAGTTAAAAAAGGACGCCTGAGGGTGTGCAAAAGTGTGGACGAAAGGAAGAGGCATACGGAGAGGCGTACAAACGAGATCCGAGTTAGTTTGGGGGCCTCAAATCAAAAGGGACTCCGGGGACCCCCTGGGCGCGCCCAGGACGGCCCAAGAAAGCCCCCAAAATGATGCCAAACGGCCCAGACCGGGGTCGGGAGGCGTGGAGGACAGCCGCAGGAAGCGCCCGCTGATTCCAACGTGCTTCCACGAGCCCGCGAAGACGCACGTGAGCTCGAAACGAGGCAAGAACAGAGGCTCGACAAGGCCACAATGGACATACTCATATGTGTTTTACGAACGAGGTTTTTTGCGTGTTGTTTTTTTGTAGTCGAAGTGGGCCGAGGAGAGGTGGGCGGGCTGCCAGACTGGCCTGGAGGACGGCCAAGATCGCCCGAGGAGAGCCTCTGGAGGCCTCCAAAATCGAGTCAGTGAGCTCCCGGAAAGGCCTCTGAGAGAGGCCGGCGGCGCCTTGAAGACGAACATTTCCAACGAGGTGCGTTCTGAAGCAGAAAGTGATGGCCAAAGAGCGCTCATTCCGCAGCTGTGGCCCCCGGGCCGGCGGAATGAGCAGGCCGCGGGGAGGACCCCAGGAGGGGTTGCAAGGGCTCTGAGGAATGGGTATTGGTACGAGGAGTTCGTGCGCGCGCAGATTGAGGGGACTGAGTTCGTGCAGACCATGCGGCGGGGATCTCACGCGCCGTTCCCGGTGGGGCGGCGGATCGCTTCGCTCATTCCGCTGGCCCTGGAGGCCCTGGAGCCCTCCTTCAGGGCCTTGTGGGGGCCTCTTGGGGACCTCTTGGGGGTCTCTTGGGACTCCTTGGCGGCGTCTTGGGGGCCCACAGGG